CTGTTGTCTGCATGATCACGAATGGCTGGGTTCTCTACAACACACCGGTGTCGATATGAAGCTTTGACCATCCTTTGTACCGCAATCATAGTTGGCTCATTGTCACAGCGAAGCGTGATGTTTTCATGACCCAAAAAGGAAATGAATCGTGAAATCTCCTTCGCCATATACTTGGTCTCACTTTTGCTACCAACTGGAACGCAGTGAACTGCTCCCGAAAAAGAATCGAAAACAGCTAACGCCACTTGCTTGTCCTGGTCTGCCTGTTTATCTCCTTCTTCTCCATCATTTCCTGTTGAACGACCTGTGAAAAACAAGTCGAATGAGATGCAAGGCATAGATCTCTGCGCTACATGTGAAGCGTCCCCACTGTGTTGATCGGGTCTACCTTTGGCACTCAAACACGCAGGACACCAACTTGCATATGGTGTATGTGTCAAATTATGAGCAGCAATCACCTCTGGTGAAGGGCTCTCCACTGACTGAGCTGAGACTGGAACTCGGCTTGCATCTGTTAAGCTCTGAGCGGCAATCTCTTGGCTTGCCAAAATTTGCTCCGTTTGCAACTTGCTGATGATTCTTTGCCACAATTTCGATTTTGATCCCGACTCTGAAATGCGCAGAAACTTGCATGCTGCTCGAAGCACTTTGATTGTTGAGGTTTCTGAAATGTTCACCCCATTGATGATCACAGCTTTGTCAAGCTGCAACAAAATAGGTTCTTCTGTCTTTTTCCCTTCAATCCTTTTGTCACCTCCTGAAGCCCCGCCTGCTAGATGCTCTGCCGCCCTGCCTGCTGAATGCTTGGCGGCCTTCTGCTCTGATGTTGCACTCCACTCAGGTGTGCGTTTTGACGTTGTCTCAGGGCTCCGATTTTAGAACGTTTCAGACTTGGAAGAAGAAGACGTCGGCTCTTCAACAAGACTTGGTTCACGTAGTCCTAGTCCAAGTTGTTCAACGCTCAAAATGTCTTTGGTGAGAAGAGTTAAAGCTGATGTCCACTTTATTCCCATCAATGCTGAACGATTGCCTATCTTGTCCAACTTGGCGCAGCACTCAATCATGTTCCAGCCGTCTCGTTCACAAAAGACAAGTGTGGTACGATAAGGCCAGTCAGTCAATGAACACTCAGGCACTGGGTCAACGTGGATCTGAGCTCTAGACATGCAGAGTGGTTGACCCTTCACTGTACTGGTCCAGCCCAAAGGCAGAAAACGCCAAGTTGAAGGGATGTCCACTGGAATGCAAATGACTTTCTGGTGCATTGCTCTCACTCGACCATGTACTATCAGCGAATTGTGTTTGAAGCTCACTGGGATCCGGGCTCCACAGCTGTGTGAGAGGAAGTTGCCATCCAAGTCGCTTGATATGTTCCATCCATTCTTCAACAACTTGCCATATGAGATCAAAGGCATGTCGATCTTATCACTCACATGACATCTTTCTCTCATAACAACCTCTGCTCCATCAACTGCAGTGAAAATGAGTTCAATGTCACGAACCCCTTGAGTCCTAATAGGGCCACCTTGCGCGTCACGTAGTTGAGACTCCTGAACAGGCGCAAGCCATCCACAACGCTGCAAACCTGAAGGAATCAAAGTTGCATCTGAACCTGAATCCAGTACAATCTCATGAAGTTCATTGCAAGTGTCCACTCGGGCACAAACAGTTTCTGAAGAAGCAGTGAGAACTCTGCACCACTCCTCAAACTGAACATGGCTTCGTACTTGAGGCTTCCACTCCAGGTCACCGCGTGCAAAATGAAATCCAGAACGCTCTGACTCGCACTCATACTCATGCAAAGAAAACTGATCAAATGACAGTTTCTCGCAATGATCTTCATCATCCAAACATTGAAGTGAAGAAAGGGCGTACCATTCAGTTCCAGGCTCACTGCACGGCATCTGCATAGAAGAAGTGGTCGAAATCACCTGACAAGGATGCATCTAAAGTGGTCGAACATGAAGCCAAATCATCACTCTCTTGAAAAACTGCACGAACATTGGACATTTCTTCAAAGGAGTCAAACGACAGGTCAAAAAGTCAGAAGGTGCAGCTGTACTGGTGCGCTCAATCGAGATGTCATTGATGTTGTTGCTGTGCTCCACGCGGTTCACACGTTGTGATGTGGCAGGCTCAATGTGTGCGTCTGTGGATGTAGCTGTTGTGAAATCATTTCCTTGATCATCAACTCGTCGAACCTTGTCTCTGTTCCAGCAATCACGAGCATAATGGCCAAATCGGCCGCAAATGTTGCAGGTGTCTTGACGTTGCTGAGACTTACCTCCACCTTTGTCTTTGCTCTTGCCTTTGCCTTTGCCAAATGGTTTGCCACTCTGTTGAGAATAGCTCGAGGTCGAAGTCTGACCTTTGCCTTTGCCTTTCGGGTTCTGGTGCTGGTAGGCATGGTTGTTCTTGCCTTTGCCTTTGTCCTTGCTTTTGCCTTTACCTTTCTGCTTACCTTTGTCTTTCCCTTTGCTGCTTCGGTCAACATCCATGGGCCCTGAAGTATCGATGACTTGTCCACTAGGTAGCTCAGAACCCAAAGCCATACTGTTGTTCCAGCGAATGGTCGACTGGTCATACCTCACAATCTGCTCTCTAAGCTCGTCGTACGATGTGGAGTCAGTCAGGGAGACATTGAGGTATGTACGCAAATGCCCAGACACACAACGCAGAAGTGTAGCAAACTTCAGTTCTGCAGAAAGTCTTCCTCCAATGCGCTCATATTCCCTAAAGGAATCCTCCAGTTTGAGAATCTGGGGGAGCAAAGAGCCACGCATGTCGATACTTGGCCACTGCATCAAAGGGTTCAACAATCTTAATGAGCGGTTGCGACTGGAAGGAAGGCACGACAAAAACAATTGACGAACTGCTTCAAAGCCGTTTTGATTTTGAATACCTTTCAAAAGCACGAGAGGCCGTCCACGAAGAAGAGATGCTAGCAAACCAAACAACTGAACTGATCGTCGAACAGTATCGGGTGATGATGATGACATGTCCACTTCCGTTTTCAAATTATTCTTCACGGTCTCAAGCTCTGCGAGAAAGTTTTGATCGATGGCCAGGAGATATTGCTCAACTTGCCACCACCAATCACGGAAGCCTGAAAGTTCTGCTTCTCTGTTGGATGGTTCGAACACTGGGGGTTTCTGTATGATTTTGGTCCAAT